CGGACAAAATGAGAGAAAATAGACTGAAATGTTTGAGATATGTTATGAGGAGAGAGGAAGTTAAAGCACTAAGAATAGTAATGAAAATAAATGTAGTAAAGCATGGGGAAAGAGGAAGACCGAAAAATAAGTGGTAGGATCCGATTGAGAATGATATGAAGACTGCCGGTGTGTAACGAATTATAAAGTCTCATGACTTTTCTATGACTGCATTCCTATTAGTATTCTTCTAATATACCAACAATGGATCAACATAATATAATAAAATTATTAAAATTATTTGTTAACAAACTATGTAAACTGGCTAAGGCATCTAGTGTCTTATTTTTTATATTTTAATAATCACGACTGTCTAAAAGTTAGTAGCGGCGTTAAAACAAAATAAAAAATGTTCAATTACAGAATATAAAGCCAAAAAATTACACCAAGCCTTACGGGTATTATAAGATTACCGAAAGTAATCAAATATCTTTCAGATAATTCCTTTTCTAAATAATACTATCATGTGTAACGTGTCTGTTTGGCTAGTAGGCTAAGCTAGGCCGAAACGACAGTGGATAGGGTTAAATTAGTGGACCCGAAGACGGGACGGATGGCTAGGCCGTATCTACACTTAAATATCCTTATAGTCTTCTTTGTATATTTGCTATATCGCCTGAGGAGCTTGACTGGCGATCGTACCTCTAAATAACTTAACTCTCAAGTGTGCAACGAAACGAAAACAGGTTTATTATATAAGTAAAGCATATACATATATATTACACCTCTACCTGGATCCTAAAGCGTTCTCTGTAGTTAGTCCAGGTAATGGCGGAGTTGAACGGACACACGAGTACGGGTAAAGTTAAAAGAAATATAAAATAGTAAGGTAACGTGAAATAATAAGTAATGGCTTTAGAATAATTAGGTCGCGGTCCGAAGATGGTAGTAAGTCAACTAACTGGGCATTGGTGCCCCTAGCATTGTCCCGTGTGTCTGTTGTCTCCCCTACCTATAATGGCTTACATGCTAATCGGGGTAAACTGCTAATAATGCATATTTGGAGGCGAGTGATAACGGGCGGCTAAATATGACCGTTACACATGTATAATTCACCAAGCTATAAGGGAATTGCATGCTGTTTGATTTTAAGAAGTTTGGTATTGGCAATATTTAAGAAAAAAAGGTTAAAATAAAATTCGACCATGCCAATACTTTGTCGGTTAATTCGTATAAGCTTCAAGGAGTTGTTTTTTATTTAAATAATTTTTACTATAAATAAAAGCCATTTGGGTTTATTTAGCACCAAAAATCCAGACAAAATTTCAACTATACAGGATGGTCAAATTTCAATTCTGTAAAGAGATTCGAGTTCTTTGGCTAGTTAACTATATTATGTAGGAAGACCGATTTCATTTAAACATTTCACTTTCTTGTTATTAAATAAATTAAATTTGCAATTTTTTCAATAATAAAACTCTATTATTGTACATAAAATAAGAAAATAGCAAAAAAGTCTGTTAATAATTATTACAACAATCGAATAACAATAATAATACAAATTAGTTAAAGTTAATTTTTATGAATTGATTTAAACGGCTTTTTTTAAAACAAAATTTACTTATTTTAAATTTGTTTAATAATAAATATTTTTTTTTTTTTTATTATTTCCCTCGGCGGCAAAGGCTATTGGGTTACATTGAATTATATTTACATAAATTACAATACATTTGACTACATTAATAAAATATTGAAAAACGAAACATTGTATAGAAATAGTACATTTTTATAAATAACTGCTTAATTCGGTTTGGGTTATAAAATTAATAAGCTTGTTGATGGCTTCGGGTTGAGGTCCGAGGGTTTCTGTCAGATCCTCCGATATTTCTTTATCAGTTCTAAATATTATTATTTTAATCTTTTTCAAATAATTATTTAAAATTGTATTGAATAATTTGTTTGTACATGAAGTTTTCAAAATTGTAAATTTTGTAGTTGAGATTTGATTCAACGGCACACTAGTAGGTATACAAACACTTGCATAAATATCATAATGTCGATCGTTATTTTATGTTTTTTCAAATAAATTTCTATTAATATTTGTCGTCGTGTGAGTACATTTTCTGATTTGAAAAACAACGGTTTAGGAAATTTGAAACCGTCACGTGATCAATTTGAAAATATACTATACTTGAACGAAATTTGTAACGAAAAAATTTGAAGGTTCAAAATGTATTGGATATTATGTATGTAAATCTCTTAAAGGTATAAACGTTCAAATAATTACGTTCATTTGCACTGTTTTACTTTCAACTCAAAATGAAAAAAAAAAATTGCTAGTTATGGATTTTTCTGTATTATGTACGTTTACACGTATCGCCAAATTTTTGTAACAGATTTTCAAACAGTTATCCTTTGCCATCAAGGGCTCTCATTTAGCCCCGTTATTCATTACTCAATGATGTGTTTTCAATTTTTGTCTAACCTAACATAACCGTTGAACAGCTTTCTTCAATTGGGCGTTTTCTTCAATTAAAAAAAACAATTTTGATTTAATTGAATAAGAAACAATTACAACGATATATGGGGAAAAAATGACCACAATTTCTTGTAGAAGGATCAACTCTAAATGCATCCGCCCTAATACTGAAAATATAGTTTAAAACATATATTATACATTGCATGTGCCATCTCTGTTTTATAAGTTTTTTTAGAAAAAATGTGTATGCAAGCAATTCGGCTGGTTTGTTCAAAGAGTCTACAAATATACGTTTTTTCTGAAACTTAAATTTCACAAGTCGGGACCCGTGTGAATGGTAATATAGTTTTCTAACGTGTTCTAACGTTTTCGACGTTCAATTTTTTCATACAGGCAAAAAAACAAAAACACATACTGTTGTTGTTGTGCCATTGTCGATTTATCATGATACAAAGACAAACAATTCGATAAAAATATGTACCTGGCTTTAACGCAAAAACTATAAAGACTACTCATGTAAAAATGTATGGGATTGAAAAATAAAACTACAGATATTGTGTTGCTTGCAAATGTTATAAAAGCTACAAAAATACATAACATTCAAAAGTAAAAAAAAAAATTAATGCGGCTCTTGTCATTACAATGATTTTATTACGTTGCTTTTTACGGTATATCAAGCTAACTTCTAAATAACAAGGTTTTTTTTGTAACCCCGTTATGAACTATAGGTATTAAGTTAACTGCATTGGGTTCCAACAACACTATTGTTTAATCGACCGCCCGGATATCTATAGACGGGTTGGGTCGGATTATTAGCGTGGTTCAATTTTTAAAGGATTCTTAAGATAAAAAGGGATAAAGTGGACTGTATGTTATGGAGATAAAAGACGGTACTAAACAATAAATAGATATGTAGAAATTAAATGCAATAAAAGTGTATGTATTAACAAATGATAATATTAATGTAAAACTATTAAATAATGGGGACAGGGGGGAGAATACTTATAATCTAATGCCATCCGGCGCAACAATATAGAACAACAAATCTATTATAATAGATGGTACTTATCGACCATTGATTATTTGCACGGGTTGACGTTGATTCGATGATGACAACACATATGAATCTTCCGACACACACACCACCGGTCGGCTGGGCGAGCTAATTATGCACCAGGGTGCATGCGAATCGCATGGGCGATTTTATTTTAATGCGTACGGAGGTACGAGCGAATCGCTAGGGCGATTTCAACAAAACACGACTATGTGTAGTCCGGGCGAATCGCTAGGGCGATTAACTATAATGCGTACAAGGGCACGCGCGAATCGTTAGGACGATTAACAACACAAATGATTTTTTGCTAATTAGCGACCATGAGGCGAAGGCTAATATGGCGGCGATGGAAATCGGCGCTCGCGTCGGGAACCAAAACGTTCGATGCGCACACCGGACAGAAGAACGATCAAGAGTGTATCGAAAAGCGTTATATTAACTCTATCCCGTAAACCGGTGGAGGCGGCACAGACAGGGTAGCCAATTCACCACATACGTGTGTGTGTGTAAGCGGATCCAACAACTATACATACTAATATTATAATTAAGATGAATAGTGTAATCAGTTGCGCAACTAGGATTTATTTTCAGGGGAAGGGGGAGGGATATACAAAATATAGAATAGCGGGATAGACTATGTTAAGAGAAAATCTGGGACGTTCCTCAGTAGTAATTTTCAAGTAATCAAAAATACTTTTTTGGATACTATAACATTATGTTGTCCTGAAGCTTTAAATACATTACTTAAGCTCTAAGATTCCCTTCTGTTTATTCGGTAACTTAACCCAACCTGGTCCCGAACATGGATTATAGCTAGTTGCGTGCTCTATTAATTGTGAAATTTAGAAGAAAAAAATGACTGTTTCTAGATTATAAAAATGTACAACTGTAAGTATCAGTTGCATGATTTTTAGAAAGATTTGTCATCCGGAATCAATATTATTAGTAGATAACCTAAAAAAAAAAAAACATAGTCCAAAACCAATTATGGTGTAAATCCATACAATAATAGAAATGATAAAAGTTGGTTTAACCCTATTATTAAATACAAGTGCGGATATAAAAATGAAAAAAAAAGTTGGAGTGTACAGAAAAAAAAAAAATTATATTTTGAAAACGAACGCTGAGTGTGTAGGTATTGGTTATCCCTAGTTTTCTGGTCTAAATTAAATGTATATAGGGAAAGATGGCGTGGTACATGTTGTAAGTATTGCCTTGAAGGCCTATAACAACGAAGAAGAAGAATAACCCAAAAGTGGTTCAATTTTTGTATCATTTGGCCACAATTTTTGCCGCGTAAAACAATTTTAGATTTGTGGCAAAGTTTGAATTTATGATTTGTGGTATAACAATAAAATTATGCCTGTAGTAAATTAGTTATACAATATATTTATACATTTTTTTTAAACAATGAAATTTTTTTGTATTGCTGACGAAATAATAATTTCAAATTTTGTATATAATTACAATAATATTATAAGTGCTGTAATTTGTTGAAACACCCGGATAATTTAATTTTATTATGAAATTTATATATATACATCGGTTGACATGGTCTCATAGTATACCGCAACGGCATTTTGGCACTGATTTTTTGTCTAAAAGAAGAGTTAAACATTAGTTTGTTATCATATAGTTAAAAATAAAACAATTACTCTTATCATCAGCCCTAGGTTCTTGATCTAAACTACCATTATTACTCAAAAGCGGTTCCCTTTGTTCACTATGTAACCATACTTGAAATATTTCGTTTCCAAACTGTCTGTAGTAGGTAGTACTGTTCTGGTTTGTAGAAGTTAGTTGGCAATGAACAGAAACAACTTCGGCTGATTTTATATGTCCTGATGAATTAGTTGTATTTTTGTACAATGCTATCACACGACAAACGTGATTTAATTTGAGTCTTCTTTCTTGTCCATCTTAATAATACATAAAAAAAGTTTTTTTTTTTTAATTTGTCAAATTTAACTGACTAGTCACTAGATTATTTTGTCGTTGTATGTTGTTCATCGAAATCGAATAAAATACATTTAATAAGTCCATAGGTATTGTTTCATAATTTATATTATTAAAAATTATAAAGATTATAATGTTATCAAACAATAATATATAGGACAGACCGAGGAATAGATGAACTTTATGGAGATAAAAGGAGTAGTAGACCAAACTGGGCTAGTCATATGTAGATTTTGGAAAGTGAAAGTAGAAAATGGAGAACATTAAAAAACAATACAATTACAATACTACATTAATATTTACCAGCACGGTACTTCAATCCACTTCTAATTATATTTTCTACAGCTCTTCTAGTATAATCTCTTCTCGTTTTTCCAAGTTCATCTAAATTTAAGTTTTCTGAACCTACAATGCATTTTTAGGCAATAGATTGACATATTTATGTAGTAAAAGATATTAGATCAGATATTGTACCAAAAAGGTACTTTAAATAATCCTTAATATAGTATTACCGATGTACAGTGAAAATTAAAAGCATCGTTAATAATCATTGTTCTAAAAATCTTGAAAACCCCCCAAAAAAAAATAAATAGAAAAAACCATACTCGCATTGTATTTAAATTCTAGATTGCTATTTTGGAAACAAAACATCAGTGAATTTTTTTTACTTGAATATTTTTTTTCAAGTAAAAAAGTTGAAAAAGAATTAAATTTTGTTGTCTACTACGATATGCTCCGTCTACAATATTGTTACTATGTTTATTTTAGCTTCGATGCAAAGCGAGAAAGTATTGGTTTTACTCTGATGTGAGCTTTTTTTTTCGCTGTATACACTGTAACTTTTTTAATACTTGACCAATTCCTTCGAATAGCAACTCTATAAATCACAAATTTTGTCTAGTTTGTACTTTGTGGGGGGGGGGGGTAAAAGTTGAAAAAGTTTAATTCTTCACAGACGAAAGTTGAAAAAACAAAAAAAAAACCGTACGAGTTTTTAAGTTAGAACTTTTAATGGCTATAATTTCGAGAAAAAGAGTCGGATCGAGTTGAAATGTATAAGAAATAATTATTTGGTATGCCCGCACACGTCAGTTGTGTCAAACTTAAACTATACACATTTCCCGACCCCCTAGGATGGGTACAAGTTTTTTTGTTTTTCGGGGTTTTTAGCGGTAATTTTAAAACTTTTGGGTTGAAAATTTGCCAGTAGTTGGAACTCATATGTACCCATAACATATTAAACGGGAAAAAAATTCGGCACTACAGTTTTTTTTTTAATTGCCGGGAAACTGTGTTTTCGCAGATTTCGTATATTTTAACAAAAACACCTAAAATCTTTAAAAAAAATTTATCAAATCATTAAAACAGTTGTATGTATATCTATGCAGAATGATACTATTAGGTTTTGTACTCAAGTACCACTTTTTACTTAAAGTTTACACAAATTCAATTTTTTTTTTTTTTAACTAAAAACCCGGTGTACCAGATGTGAGAAACGAACAGACACTAAAAACTATCAGTTGGTAACGTCTATCCGTGTTAGATTAGGTTAGGGCCCAATGATCGGTATCATAATATTGTGTTTATTACATGATATCATAGGCGACTAAATCGTGTAACTGATTATAGTAGACACTCGATTTATTGGGAAAAAAACCTATCCGTGTACTTATTAAGACATTTAATGATTCTGATACGACAAAACCACTATCGTTATCTCGTTATTTTATAGCCTGCGTTATATAACCTTACCGAAGGTCAACTATGAGTATATAAGGTCCAACTACCTGCAAGTAATGAAGAGGACTGTTGTTTTTTGGATTCAGGTTAAGTGTTGGTTTTTATGCAGTATACCGCCTCAAAATGTATTTTTTATTACACAATTTTTTTAAAGGAAAACTAATGTTTTGTATATTGTTATACTGTTATTCATTTAAAGAGATTCACGCTTGATTGTTTAAATTGTCTAGTATTAGATAATCTGCTTCGTGCTAATTTTAATTTTTTAGTTAATCAACTTTTTTAAAATCTCCATAAAAGGTTATTGTTAAATAACAGGCAACAGCCGACCGCTAGTGGCTATACACGTTAGTAATATTTAACTAATAAGTAATATATGTAGGTAAAATGTATTATTTTCTCCATCACAGTACCAGTATATGATTTATTTTAATTTAAATGTAAGAAAATCGATTTTTCTTTAGAAAATAACAAGAAATTAATATACAGGATGAGGCAGTAAAACGGCGATTTTCTAATGTATTTAAATGGTAAAACCCGTTTCACTATCTCACCCTTTACATTTTAAGGATCTATGAAAAGGTTTTTTTAGTTGCATTTTATTTTGTACATTGTCAATCTAGTAAAATAGAAGTATAATATAGCTTTGAAATAATATAATCTATGAAGTATAAATAGTTTGTGTGAGATTGCTTTAATGGAAGTATATAATACATAAATATTAGTTTTATTGAGAATAAGCGATTATAATTTAAACTATGGAGTACAAACGATTGGAACATGAATCGTCGACCATTCCAACAAAATATAACAAGACATTGTATATGTGTTATTTGGTCCACTAAATTTTTGCAAAAAAAAAAAACCAGTACAGTGGGGTCGATGCATAGTGGGGACAGAACATAGTTGGGTCGGGGCATATTGGGGACGGGGAGGTCACAGGTTTACAGGAATTTTTAAATCTGAAAGTGATAAAATCACTTTCGAAAAAACGCTTCGATGCAAATCGGTAGTTAGTATTTTCAAGCCAGTACAGTCCAAACCAAGCACAGTATAAACCAGCAAAGTTAGAAAGTCTTAAATGAAGGTTCTGTATTTACAAATGAGCATCAAAGCGTTTATTTGAAAGCGATTTGATTCAATTTTATCACTTTTATTTATAATAATTCTTGTAGACCTGTGACCTCTCCGTTTCCTCATTGCTTTGATTACATTATGCCAATACTCTACTGTACTAGTCCTCTTGGATAAAATCGCTTTCAAATAAACGCTTTGATGCTCATTTGTAAATACAGAACCTTCATTTAAGACTTTCTAACTTTGCTGGTTTATACTGTGCTTGGTTTGGACTGTACTGGCTTGAAAATACTAACTACCGATTTGCATCGAAGCGTTTTTTCGAAAGTGATTTTATCACTTTCAGATTTAAAAATTCCTGTAAACCTGTGACCTCCCCGTCCCCAATATGCCCCGACCCAACTATGTTCCGTCCCCACTATGCACCGACCCCACTGTACTGGTTTTTTATTGTGATGCGAAGTGATCACAATTGATTTTACGCTGTTCAAAAAATTTCCGTAAATATAGTAGCAGTTATTAAATCTCGCTTTCCGCTTTAACACAAGCCATAAGGTCTATATACTGTCATCGAATAAATTCATAATACATAATTACATTGGTCCGGCTCAAGCTCAGCAATAGCTGTAACAAAAATATTTAGCACTAAAAATGTAAACAGATTTTGTATGTAATTTCATTCATAACAGTCACTCGAAAACTGAGTTTCGTTTGCTAAAAACTGCTAAAACAGTAAGGCTGTATTTTTATTTAAAATTTTAATTTATTTATTTTTATTGAGATGCGAAGTGATAAAAATTGATTTAAGCCGTTTAAACCATTACCGCATATATAAAAGTTGTTAAATCTCAGTTTTTTACTTAAACTATAAAACTATAATTTATTGTAACTATTTTGTGAAAACTTAAAAACAAGCCAAAAGGTCTATTTATTATTATCGACTAAATTAATAATTACTACGTTGGTCTGGTTCAGGTTTAGCTGTAAAATATTAAATAATTATAACGTTAGTTAAAAATCGAATTCTATAATTAATCAATAACATTCTCTCTAAAACGGAGATTAATTACACAAATTAAACCGTAAAAAACATTCTATTAACATTGAATTATTTCTCATAGCAACCATGGAATAAGCGATTCGAATTTTATTTTAAGCGATCCTTAAACCTTAAGCGAAAAATATAATAGCTTTGTATCGCTTTAACTTAAATAATAATCTCATAGTTTTACTTAAGGACTTAAATAGTATATTTACGTAATTTATGTTGTATTTCATCAACCAATATTTTCTGTAGGTGTTCGGCTTCTAAAATTTAAAACAAAAGAATATGATTATTTTTAGTATATCATAATATTATATAAATAACGAATCTGTGTAAAGAATATTATAAATAAAAATGTAGTTACGCCGTATATAGTTAGGATCATAAAGCTCTGAAATAAATACGTTAACATTGTATACTTTATGAATATCAAACAAAGTTAGTGGAAAGATATTTCCATAAAATGCAATGAAAATTACCCGGTAAAACGAACATCAGATTGAATTGGCCTGAAATAAATATTGTGGAAACATTATTAGAGTAAAATTAAAATTTTTCATTACTGATAAATTTGCTTAAAAGTGAAATCAAAATAAAATTTTCTACTAGCAAGCTTTATTTTTTTTTATTATTATACAATTATTACTACCTATTGTAACATCTTGTAAAACAACGGTTTTAATTACATTTTCCAATCCATCTAGAATAAACAAATACAAATGTTGAACAATAAAAAAAGTTTTAAATAAAATCATAATTGACTTGAAATCATCACAGCATGCTTTAAGCAATGACGATTTAACTCAACGCTACTGCGCCTGTTGGGTTGAACATTCAATGCCAATAGCCAAGTATGTTTAATGTAAATTGTACTGCTATTTTAAGTATAAATATAAAATATTTGATTATATAGAAACTATAATTCTACATTTATAAATCATTTGACGATCAGACAAAACAATTATATTATATTAGTTTATTATTTTTTAATATATTATCTTACTTCCATATTGATTATTATATTCATAAGCTTTCTGGATGTATATATCTGTAGTGAATTATTTTGAAAATAAGTTTGTCAACAGAAAAATTAAAACTTAAAAGCATATTTGTAAGAAAAAAAATATGTTACTGACTTGTAGTATGAACCTGCTGTTTATAATCCGCTGTAGAAAAAAGTAAAATATTAATTTTTTTTGTTTTTAATTTTTAACTACCTCGTGTACTTTGAAATAAAAAATTTACTCAAATCATCAGCCAATACATTTACTAATATAAATGACATTAGAACACTGAACATTTTCATTTTCATCTGCAAATAGTAATAAACATAAAAGCAATTTATATTAGTCGCTGCCGCCTTCCGAGCGGTGTTGAGTAGGTTTTTGTAATTTTTTATTTTATGTGGATAATTTTCGTATGTATCCATTGTCTTAAGTTTTATATAAGCACCGTTGCGCTGTCATGACGATACTGACAATCGCTCCGAAGGTGGACTCTGCAATGACTTTGCAAAAATCTGAAGACACAGAATCATCCGTAAATTATCCATAAAACGATACAACCCATCGGAGAAAATATTGATCAAAAAACTAAGTAGAGCTAAAAAAATATTGTACCTACTTGATGAGAACTTAGTTAATGGGAACCTGTCCCTTCTAGCCCCGCCTTATTTTTACCATTGTGTATTTTGCATAATATAATTATCAGTGTGCCACTGTTGATTTATTTACATTTAATGGTTGATTGTTCTACTTACTTTAACGATGGAGACGGCACAACTTGTAAATCAAAGATGAGTTGTACCAAATAACTGTTTTGAACTGACTTTCTTGTGTCTTGTCTACGGGCATACTAATAGTATATCGACCGAAGCAGTAAAACTGACATAATATATTTTTCAGTGTACCTTTGTTGATTTATTTACACAACTATTTTTTTTTCCAAGATGACGTCATATCTATTGCACTTATTTGTTACACTGACGTGTAGTTAAGAACCGTTGGAGTTTTTTTTTCAGTTATTGGTTTTACTATCTCTCGTAACACTAATTGGGAACAGAAAATCTTCTTCTTCTTCTTCCTCAGCTTATCGGCCCATTAAGTGCCATCGCCGCCATCACAAAACCTCTCCATTTCTCTCTATCGTATGCGTCGTCAAAAGATGACTCTTCTTCTATGTTTTTGATATCTTGAGCTATAACATCCACCCATCGGGTCCTTGGTCTTCCTAATGGACGTTTTTTATTTATTTTGTTAACTAAGACTTCTTTTATTACTTGTCCATCCGCTCTTCAAACATGGCCGAACCATTCTAGTCGTTTGCTTTTTATATATGAAATAATATTTGGCCTGTAATATAACTCCTGTAGTTCTTGATTTTTCCTTCTTTCGTAAGTTTGTGTTTCTGCATTGAATTTCGGGCCGTATAAATTTCTCAGTACTTTTCTTTCGAAGGTCATTAGTCGTCTGCTGTCTCCTTTGGTCAGTGACCATGTTTCACACGCGTATGTGATTATTGGTCGTAGATAGCTATGATACAGTAGTGTCTTTGAGTTATGTGACAGTAGTTTTGATTTAAGGAGTCTCCTTATGCTATAGTAGCATCGATTGCCGCATGCTATTCGATCATTGATTTCTTCATGCATGTCATTGTTGCTATTTATGTTAACACCTAGGTACTTAAATACCTCCACTTTCTTGAAACTATAGTCATCTACTGTTATGTGGTCTATGTTTGGACTTCTTCTTGTTACCATTAAGTATTTCGTCTTTTCCTCATTTACACACAGCCCTATGGTTTTACTTGCTTTCAAGAGTTTGGACGCAGTATTTATGACTTCATCTCTAGTTTCTCCCATTACTACAATGACATCTGCGTATGCCAATATTACTCGTTCCCCACATATTTCCATTTTTCGACCGTCCCATACTTCTCTAATTGCTTTTTCTAATGCTAGATTAAACAAGGTGGGTGATAGAGCATCACCTTGTCTGAGGCCTAATTTTACCTCAAAGGTTTCAGACATTTCTTGCAGGAAACGAACTCTGCACACAGTTCCATTGTTACATCCTTTTATAAGACTTACGTACTTTTTAGGAATGCCTAGTACTTTCAGTGCTTCCCATAGTTTGTCCCTATCAATGCTATCATAAGCTTGCTTATAGTCTATAAATATAAGGTGCAGTTCTTTATCAAATTCATAAAACTTAGCCATTATCTGTCTCAGTGTAAAAATATGGTCCAATGTCGATTTACCTTTTCTAAAGCCGCTTTGATATTCCCCGACTATTTCGTTTACATATGGGTTAATCCTTTCTAATATTAATGACGTATACACTTTGTAACACGTGTCTAAGAGAGATATACCTCTGTAGTTCTTTGTTTTGGTCGGATCCCCCTTTTTTAATATAGGACATATTACTGCAGTATTCCAGTCCTCTGGAAGGGTTTCTGTATCCCATATAATTGAAATCATCTCCATAATTTTTCTTCTTATGGGAACAGAAAATATTATACAAATATATTTTTGGGTCAAAACGCCAAATACGAATGCACCCTCATGTTTGGTTTTGCAAAGTCAGTGTTTTTAAGGTATTCGCAAGATACATGTTATATTTATAAAACAAAGTATATTACATGTTTTATTTAAAACATGTGTAATACACATTGTGTACTAATAACAGACACAGCACATGTTACAATTATTTTAAAAATTGTCTTTACGGTACGATGGTTTTTGTTATTAGTTTGAACAAAGAAACGCTTAAGGTTAATGACTTGAGTAAATTTGTATTGTTTATAGAGGAAAATTGTTCACTAGAATGCAAGTTCCAAACCACGTGTCAGCGTCTACGGATTCAGGCATAATGTATGTATTTAAAACTTGGTGAAATGAAATCTGTTATCCCAGACTGACCACCAGGGCTGTAACTGTACGCAGTATTTTTTTTCCTTACTAATATAATCGGTTACGCGATATTGTCTTTATTTTTTTTTTGATGTTTAATAGAAAAAAACAAAAATATCGTTTACTTACTTCTAAAAAGTTTTATGTTTTCGTTTATTGCTCGATTAAACGCCAATACGTTTTAAAAATTTCAAGTGTTTATTTTGTAATGTTTATCTAATGAAAAAAATTTGTATCATGATTTTAATAAATAATTTTACGTATTTTTATTCTGGTCCAGCGACGATACAGGATACACGCGTTAAGTTGATTAGTTAAAATTACTTTAATTACCAGAGTATAATTTTTACCAATGTCCTTTTTTAAGGACCATTTGTACCAATTGTCCTTATTTTAAGGTATACAAGTATACTGAGCGATTGATTAGGCATAAGAAATGGTTGTCGGAAATCCTACTGGCCGAAAAAGAATGGAGGGACAATGTCCTGACCGACGACTGAATGTGAAGGAAGGACTTGATGGACTGCTATGAAGTGTAGAATTAGCTAGCATTAAGTGGCTTTTGCGATCTGATGACCGTCATTTTGTAAGTGTCCACCGGAACCCGTTCTGCTTACTGGTTTTACAAAGGGGGAGAAATGATGAATCATAAGGAATGGAATTGTGTGGCTTACTCAGTGTATGTGCAATAGTTTTATTTAAAGTAATTGTGATATTATAATTTATATATAAGTGCAAATCTATTATTTTCTGCATAAAGTTTTACAAAGTACTTATGATAAGTAAATTCTATATTTATAATATATTACAATTAAAATAATTGATAAGCATGAGTTTAATGAAATACAGATTTTTTTAAAGCATATACGTCTTTAGCATATTTTTCTAAGTTCTTAGAATATGTATAACGATTTTTAATGACCGTTGACAGATTTTCATCATTTGCTTCATTTAGTTTCATGGATGTTGCAGTTAATTGGACACTTGAACTAGATTTCATGTTAAACTCGATCAGTTCATTATCAATGATTTCAATTAGTGAATCAATGTTTTTCTTCGAGTTCTGGTCACCATTAAGGTCCATTATGTAATAGGCTATAAAATCAAAGAGTTTATTGCAGTAGGGTAGTAGAAATGAACTCATGCTGTCGAAGGAGGTTTTTAAAGCTTTTGCATTTTTTTCAGAAATTGGCACATAGTTATAATTCCGATTGATTTCTAAAATAACTTTAACATTTTGAAGTACTATATAATTAATGAAATTGATTAATATAATTTGATAAGAGATAAGGGTTTGTGGTTTCATTGTACTTTTGACTATGTTATGAATATATATTATGGATTCATTATTTTCAGCCAATAGTATTGTTATATTATTAATATAAGACGATTCATTTTTGAATTTTGATAAGTTTTCAAACAAATTTTCACCAATAAAAAATCTTAAGGTAATGGTCAATTCATGATCAATTGACCTCTTTAAAATATTTTTTGAATCGTCAACAACTAACGATACGTTAGAGATGCTATATGTATTGCAATTTCGTACCATTTTTTCACCAATATAATTAACGGCTGATACATGGTCTCTTTTTTCTTTCTCTCCTGGGTAACTAATAGGTTTTTTTTGGCTGAGTGAAATTGAAAACTGATAATAAATTTGTAATCACCGACCCCAAAAACATATAATTTGACCACTTTTAAAGCATTTAACATAAAAATCCAGAAAAATGTTTGAGCATCGATGCAGAGCGGCGAAGGTATTGGTTTTACTCTGATGTGGGCTTTTTTTTTATTTGTATACAAATGTATACAAATAAAACTGTAACTTTTTTA